GCGCACGCAGCGCTGAGGAGGCGCTCGGGTGGGATTCCCGGAGCGCTCCCGCCGTGGTCTCCGCCGCAGATGGCGCTGCTTTTCCCCCCGGCGTGTGCAGCTTCCCCGGCATCCCGCTCCCGAGAACAATGGGCTCTGTCTCCCGCGCGGCGCTCCCTCTGCAGGCCCAGCCCCCGTCGAGTTTGGGGGCCTTAAAAGTAAACGAAATTCCCTGAAACTGAATTTCAGTCACGGTTCCGCTAGAGCAGGTAGCTTTTGTGTTTGGTTTTGAACACTCCCCACCCCCTCGCCCCTTCCACCGAGGTTAATGCCTCTGTCGTGACAGATCATACCACTGCTGGAGGCTCTGGGAAGAGCGACCGGCAGAATTAGTCTATTGTAGGTGAATAAACACTTACTTCTAAATCTTTTTTTCGTCCTAGCCATGCATCGTGACTCTTGTCCGCTGGACTGCAAGGTTTATGTGGGTAACCTTGGGAACAATGGCAACAAAACTGAATTAGAGCGAGCTTTTGGCTACTATGGACCACTGCGCAGCGTATGGGTGGCGAGAAATCCTCCTGGGTTTGCCTTTGTGGAATTCGAAGACCCCCGAGATGCAGCTGATGCAGTAAGAGAACTAGATGGAAGGTAAAACGTGCTTCTTGCGTGTTTGGCTCGCCTGGTGAAAACAGGAGAAACTGGGAAGTGGTACAGTTTAAATTGGGAAGCCTCAGTGGCAAAACCAAGGAGTGGGCACATTTGTTATGCGGTATTTATTCGTATAAAGGGTAGTTTGTCTTCAGAGTGCAGGAAGAGCTTTGCATTTCGGAGTTGGGCTCGCAGGTTAGGCGTGACTCGGACCTCTTGGTGCGCTTGTGTTGCTACAAAGAGGCAAAACTGATGAGGGAGACTCTTCGGTTCCTTCTCTGCCTGCTGTAACCGATGTCACAGAGATGTTGTGGATGCCCCATCCCTGGAAGTGTCCAAGGCCAGGCTGGATGAGGCTTGGAGCAACCTGGGCTAGTGCAAGGTGTCCCTGCCCATGGCAGGGGGGTTGGAACTGGGGGATCTTTCAGGTCCCTTCCAACCCAAACCATCCTGTGACAGTATGATTGTATGTCTTTTCTTTTCCCAGAACCCTGTGCGGGTGTCGTGTCAGAGTGGAGCTTTCCAATGGTGAGAAGCGGAGTCGGAACCGTGGTCCACCTCCATCCTGGGGCAGGCGTCCTCGAGACGACTATCGCAGAAGGAGTCCTCCTCCTCGTCGCAGGTACCCGTGGTCAAAGTACACGCCTAGAGCTCTTGGCACTGTTACCACGTAGCGTCCTAGGGGCAGGCTTTTTTAAAGCATGTTGATGGATAACATTCATCCATCTGATCACAGTTGGGAGATGACAGATGCTAAAAGAAACCCCCCAAAACCGAGGTGAACTTGTGTTGAATGTTGGCTTTTGTCCTTAGGTCACTGTGCAAGTTGGTAGTCAGCGCCCTCTATCCCGGAGCTATCCTCGTTCCTCCTAAAATCTGCTCATCTTCTAGTCACGCTTTCCCTTTCTTCCCCATACTTCCACTTAGGCTGTTCCTTTCCTTTATTCCATAATGGCAGGACATGACATGCAGCAGCGTAGCATTTCCATGCGGGTGTTTGGCCTTGGTTTGTGCAGTTTAAGTATGTCCCGAGCAGGCAGCTGTTGAGTAACGAATAGCCGGAGGTTAACAGTTGCTGAAAGCCTCTCGAATCGTTCCACTTGAGTGTCAGTTGGGAATTAAAGCAGCGTGTGACCATCCTGTCACTCGAGGCTCGCAAACCCAGCGGGAAAACGTGGCAGGATTTTTGGTAACTGACACGTTTGTGGACCCAGAGTAGCTTGTCCGGCGGTTTTTGCGGGGCTGAATTTACCTGTTGCAGGTGAGTGAGGCCCTCGAGTCAGGGGTTCGAGCTTACCCGTTTGCTGTTGAAAAGTAACACGTTAGGAGTATTTGTTAGCTAATAGATGGTTGTACTGATGGCTTGTTTTTCATTTTTCTTATGCTTTTTGGTCCATCTATTAATAAAAATGAACCCGTTACAGAGTCACCATCATGTCTCTTCTCACCACCCTCTGAGTCTGCATTAGCCAGTCAACTAGCCCTTTCAGCGTCATGTGACCAGCGCGCCCCATTCAGCTTGGCTGGTGTCGTTTCACATGACCCAGGCATGGCCAGTCGTCAGGTTGCACCGCCCTTTGGTTCCCGAGCATGCTGTTTTCTCTCAGCCTTCTCTCCAACCTTAACCAAATCGGCAGCAGCCACCTCGACCGCCCACACATTCCCGGCCAATCAGCTCAGCTGTTTATTTACCAAATGTCTTCACAACAACTACAGCAGCAGCCTTCGGCTAACAAAAAAGCAGGAAAAATCCACACCACCCCCTTCGCCAACCAACTAAATACAACGCAACATCTGGCAAAACCTTTTCAGCAAATTCTTCTTGGCAGTCAGTCCGGCAGCCTCACCTCACCATTTCTAGCTTGTTGAAACCAAAAACTAGTAAGTTTTTCCTGCTTATACAGTTTACTGCTGGTTAAAATAAGGAGTAAGCGGCTTATAAGTAATTACTTTTCTCAATCAAAGGCTGGCTGTGCATAATTGAGTGGTAACGTACCTATGTTGCTTGAGAAAACTTTTAAGGGTGATACGGAAGCTCTTGCACTGTGGATGACGGACAGACCGGTGTTATTTGCATGTGAGATGCCAAACTAAATTTTTAATAAAGCTCTAACAAACTCAAGCTTTTCCTTGCCAGAACCAAAACCAATCCGATCACCTTTAAATGGTTTTACTAACCGTTTTCAAAACTTAAAAACAATTACTTTTTGGGATGAACTGGGCTGAACTAAGGTTACTTTTTTTTATTATTTTTTTTAAATAGTCTAAACACACTCGATGGCGTTAAAAATTACAATCACAAATATGCAGTTCTAATGTAGCACTTAATGGCATTATCAATATTTACACTGAGCGCATTTTCACGTTGGTTTTTTTTCCCACTTGGTATCTCTTAAGCCTTGTTGTGGACCTTTTTGGCTTGCATGGGTTCCAAAACATTTGCTCTTATGCTCTTTTTTTTTTTTGTGATTTGGAACCACCCGTGGGACTTTGGTGTGGTGTTCTGGGCACTGTGTTTAGTGGAAACGGAGAGTGTGGCATTGGACAGCTCTGCTGTGAAGCGTTGGTAGTTAAAGTGAATTCCTGGTTGGAAACGTGCTGTTGACACTGAGCTTTGTTGTAGTGCCTAATCTTTCCATGCCTTTGACTGGATGATGGATGCCAGTTATTCTTGGCATGTTCCCTGGGCCCACCAGTGAGGTTGACAAGTTGGGAAATGCCTCACTCCGTTAATGCTGAAAGAAGCGATAAAAAGCCTCACATTTCTTTTTCTGGTTCTAGATCACCGCGAAGGAGAAGCTTTTCTCGTAGCCGCAGCAGGTACGCACCAGTTTCATTAAAGAGGGGGCTAACAGGAAGCCAGCAGCTGAATTTGGGGTTTGCTGTATGCACTGGTGGGTGTCGGAACTCGGTAAAAGGGGAGAAACGGGTTTGCTGCTGCCCTGTCGCTTGCCTGGAGTTACTGCCTTCACAGCTCTGAGATTCCAGGGTTACCCATTGGAGGATGCTGGGAATGGAAGCAAGTTGGCCTCCCTGTTGGGAATTCCTTCCAGGGTTCCTGCCCGTTGTCCAGTTCCCCTTCGACTTGCTGCTCTCCCTCGGGGCCTGTGCCCCGTGAGCGTTGGGTGGCAGTGCTATGGCAGCGTAAGGATGCTGCCTTAGGATTTCCGTGGGTTCTGGAGTTCCCGTGGGATTTGGGTGTTCCCATAGGGTTGCTGCACGGCGGGTGTAAGCACAGGGGGATGTGCCGTGTAGTGGGGGCAGGGTCCCTGGCAGCCTGAAGAGATGCAGACGGGTGCAGGGGAGGGGGTGCCTGTCACAGCACCCCTTCAGCTGCGTTCTGTGGCGTCGAGCCGCGTAACTAAAAGGCTGAGCCATGATCCTTGGCAGGTTTTTCATGGTGGAATAGTTAAGAACTAACTCCGGAAGGGAAGCTTTTCTGATAGGTTTGTAACCCGTAGGTTCAGCCATGTTTTGGGGCTGTAACCATCTTGTTTTGTCACCTTCCACAGGTCCCTCTCCAGAGATAGAAGAAGAGAGAGATCACTCTCACGGGAGAGGAACCACAAGCCTTCCCGTTCCTTTTCCAGGTCTCGCAGGTAAGAGGAGTCTTGCAGTGGCTGTGCACATTGAGTAGAGCTGTGGAAATGGATGTTTTTTGCGTCTCGGTAACGCTGGAGTAGGCCGTGGGGGAGCATTGACTCGGGTCCTCGTGTCCTTCAGGGATTGAGTACCTGGAGTTGGGGCCTGAGCGGTAGTTTGTGAGGGTTGAGTGTCACCTGCTGAGTTGGGCTGGGGGTGTGCAGCAAACCTGCTGCTCGGGCACTAACACGTCTTGTCTCGTTCAGTCGCTCCAGGTCAAACGAGAGGAAATAGGACTCTGGGAAGGAGCTGTGTACAGGAAGTCGCTAGATCTGAGGGCAGGAGGAGTATGTACAGAACATTGTTTTGTTTTGAAACTTCATAAAGCTTGGTGCATTTTTAAAATGTTTTAGCTGTTGAACTCGCTTTGTTCCTTGTATCTTGTAACAGGTGGCACATGTAAAGATGTGAATCTGTATATGGTTCTGAGCAGGTCATATGATTTGTACTATTAATCGCTTTACAACGTACCGTTACACCAGTTTTCCTCTGTGTCGAGGTGATCAGGCTGTCTTGCGTCGATGGGATGCTTCCGGTCTCGACGCACGAGGGGCTCTGGCGCTGGGGGCTCTCGTGCCGGCGCTGGGCTTCCGGAGGAAGCACGCAATGAAGAGGTGTTCATTGCGGAAGCGCGGCCGCGAACAGGATTGGGCGCTTCATAGCGCAGTTCTTGGAAAGAGTCAGGAACGTCGAGGCGGTGGCGTGTGAAGGGAATGACTTGAGCTGCAGTTTGATCCAGAGCTCCAGTTCTGAATTCTGTTCCTGGAACTGAGCTACTTTATATTACGTGAAATATAGGTTTTTAGCCGTCGGGTCGGTTACCTTGTACTTGATGTGACTGGAGTACTTCCCTAGTGACCGTCTATTCCAGAACCTCTGAGCAGACCAAATACACAGCAGAACTGACAGCTGGGCTCTCGTGTGTAATGGTACCTTGTAAAAACGATGAATTCAACATTTCTTTACTGTATGAGAATTTTCATGTCACTTGTAAAATGTCTTTTGTGAGATCCTTGGGATTAAAGTTTTGGTTACAACTTGTTGTTCAGTATTTGAGTCCCTCCCCTATCAGGGTCGGATGAAATGTGCCCCACAGTAAGCGGACACGCACTGTGGGTCACGCCACATGGCTGTGTGTCCAGGCCTGCTGTAGGCCGTGGGGCAGCACTGGCCTCCCCGCGTGATGCTCGGTGTGCTGTGTGGCAGATGGTAGCGTGTCTGCCTCCTGGTGAGCTCCACAGCAGCGGGGTGTTCATCCTTGGAGGTGCTGTTCTGTCTCCTTTGGGAAGTGGAGCTCCGCGTGGAGGTTTGGCTCAGGGTCAAACCATGGGGTGACTCCAGCTCCTGAGCTGCCTAGTGCCTCCTTTTCCCTGTATCCAAGAGACTCCATCAGCTTTGAGTGATGAGGGTTAAACCCATCATACTGCTGCTCCTGTGGCTTAATTTCCTTTGTATCCAGGTGGGGATGAGATTCCAGCAGGGCTGTATTGGAGGGCAGTTGTGCTACTCCCCAGGCTGCCTGGAGAGGGGGTGTGTGGGTCATAGTATCCAGGGGGGAGGTGCAGCATCTTTTAAACTAAGTGCGATTTCTGGTTGGACTCGATTATCTTGAAGCTCATTTCCAACCCAGCTGGAATTCTGGGATTCTCTCCTAGCAGTCGAACAGCCTCTGGCCCAAACAGCACCATGGCGTGAGCACCCCAGCCTCATGCTCCCCGGGAAGCAGCCCTAATGCGCCCAGCGGGGAGCGGTGCGGACACGCTGTTTGTCCTGACCTGTGGGCCCGATGGATTTGGGAAGTGGGATCTGGCAGCTGGCCTCCACAGCCGAGACAGGGCTACCATCCCGCTGCTGCCTGCCTACCCCCCCGCTGCTGCCGGCCCAGTCCTGCTCTGAAATTACGGCCCAGCTCCCTGGGGATGTTTGCGCCGGGCGAGCGCGGCCGCGGGCTGGGGCGGTACCGCGTGCCCCGCACAGCCGTGTTCCCCTTTCTCACCCACACTTATCGCAGGGCTTGGTCTGTGGCAGGACTGTGACGCTGGCACGGCACTTCCTCCTGCGGTGGCGAGAGGGAAGGAACTCGGAAGCGCTGGAGGGGGTGTCGGCTGCGGGGAAGCAGGGTGTGGGGTCTGTGCACCCGGGACTAGCGCAGCGGGGCGCTTCATCGGTTCCAGGTTACGCTGCTGGGCTGAATGAAGAAGTTGGTCCTTAAGTGGGTTTTTGATGGGGAACAAAGTTTAGCAACTTGAGAGAAGGACGGGAAGCGTGTAAATGCGGGCTGCGCGCAGGTGGAGGCGGCGAGCGCGACGACGCGGCCACGCGCTCTCGGATTTGCGGCCTGTGGTTTGCTTGCGCGAGCGGAGAGCCAGGCCGGCAGCGCTGTCTGCAGCCGGGGCGCTGTGGCTTGGCTTTGGCGTCTGCTCTGAAATGACACGGAAAGGTGCGTGTTGTCAGGGCCGGGACATCCCTCACCTCTCCCCAGAGATGCCCAAACAGGGAGGAGCTGCGAAGCAGCTCTTCAGACTCCGGCATCCAGCGAAGTGCCTGAGGTTGGCAGGTGACTCCAGCGGGGGAATCTCTTCTGTCTGGCGTCAGGGCCGGGGTTCACGGGACTTGCACCAACATGTTAAGCTGCGTTTCTAATTTGGGGAGAGGTTTAGCTGCCCCCGCCCGCAGCGCCCTGAGGTTAACGCTTATCTGAGTCCCTCAGACGCTTGGCAGTGCCGTGTCCGCGCTCGTCCCAGGAGCGCGTCGGGCGACGTAACTGCCCTCTGTTGACGTGCGTCCCGCTCCGTTCTCACGCTCTCCCCAAGCACGGCGTTGCGTGCCGGCGCCTTGGCCAACAGCGGGAATGGTTTTTTCTGTCCGTGCCGCTCTTCGCTCACAGCAGAGGAGGTCGTTTGGAAAATGTGCCTTAGAAAACAGGTTAAACGTGTCCGATCTTCCGATG